GCGATGCGCCTGCTGGGCGAGAGCCTCGGCGTCCCGATCCACGTCTTCGGCCCGGAGACGCACATCACCGCGATCGTGCCGCTCGCGCTGGGGGTCGCGGCGAAGGAGAAGAGGGGCGCTGCAGGGGGGGTGGAGCCGGTGTCGATCCCGGCGACGCCGCCCGCGGCGCGGGGCGAGGTGGTGGAGGGCGCGGAGGGCGTCGGCGCGATCCACGCGGACGGCGAGCGCACGCAGGCGGAGGACCAGATCGTGCGGTTCGACGCTGTGGTGGAGCGCGGCGCGCGGCCGTGGTTCCGCCCGTTTGACGCTGCGACGCGGGCGCTGGTGTACGGTCTGCAGCCGCGCGCCATCCAGGGGATGCTGGACTTTGACTACTCGTGCGGGAGGGAGGCGCCGAGCGTGGCGGCGATGATATATCCGTTTGGGGGACACCATATCCAGAAGTTTTATTGGGGGACGAAGGAGACGCTGCTGCCGGTGTATACGAGCGTGGAGGAGGCGGTGGGGAAGCACCCGGATGTGGATATTGTGGTGAACTTTGCGTCGAGCAGGAGTGTGTACTCGAGTACGCTGGATATTCTCAAGTTCCCGCAGATAAAGGTGCGTGTGTATGGGTTTGGGTGGTGTTTTGGTGCTGATGCGGCGTAGGCTATTGCGCTGATCGCGGAGGGTGTGCCGGAGAGGCACGCGCGCGAGATTCTGCACATTGCCAAGGGCAAGGGCGTGCTCATCATCGGGCCTGCGACCGTCGGCGGGATCAAGCCCGGCTGCTTCAGGATCGGCAACTCGGGCGGCATGATGGACAACATCATCTCCTCGAAGCTGTACCGCCCGGGCTCCGTCGGCTACGTCTCCAAGTCGGGCGGCATGTCGAACGAGCTGAACAATATCCTCTCGCTGTACACCAACGGCACGTACGAGGGCATCGCGATCGGCGGCGACCGCTACCCCGGGACGACGTTCATCGACCACCTGCTGCGGTACGAGGCGGACCCCGAGTGCAAGATGCTCGTGCTCCTCGGCGAGGTCGGCGGCGTGGAGGAGTACCGCGTGATCGAGGCCGTGAAGAAGGGCGCGATCAAGAAGCCGATCATCGCGTGGGCGATTGGGACGTGCGCGAAGATGTTCGCGACGGAGGTGCAGTTCGGGCACGCGGGGTCGCTCGCGAACTCGGATATGGAGACCGCGGACGCGAAGAATAAGGCGATGCGCGCGGCGGGGTTCATCGTGCCCGAGACGTTTGAGGAGCTGCCGGATGTGCTCGAGGAGACGTACAGGCGGCTGGTGGCGGAGGGCGCGATTAAGCCCAAGGCGGAGCGCGACCCGCCGGTTATCCCGATGGACTACAAGTGGGCGCAGGAGCTGGGGCTGATTAGGAAGCCGGCGGCATTTATCTCGACGATCTCGGACGAGCGCGGGCAGGAGCTGATGTATGCGGGCATGCGCATTACGGATGTGTTCAAGGAGAATATTGGACTGGGCGGTGTTGTGTCGCTGCTGTGGTTCAAGCGGCGCCTGCCGGAGTATGCGACCAAGTTTGTCGAGATGGTGCTCATGCTCACTGCTGACCACGGTCCCGCCGTGTCTGGGTAAGTGGGTGGTGGGGTTTCAGTGAGGAGTGTGCTAATGGGACGTTGTAGGGCTATGAACACCATCGTTGCCACCCGTGCTGGCAAGGACTTGATCTCGTCGTTGGCTTCTGGCCTCTTGACTATTGGTAGTCGCTTCGGTGGTGCCCTCGACGAGGCTGCGTCCATGTTCTCGAGCGCGCGCGACCGTGGCCTGACGCCCCGCGAGTTTGTCGACGAGGCCCGGAAGCAGAACAAGCTCAGTGAGTCTCAACTGCATGCCAGTCTTGGATAGCACTGATGGGCGTTTCAGTCAGCGGTATCGGCCACAAGATCAAGAGCGTGAACAACCCCGATCTGCGTGTCCAGCTGGTGAAAGAGTACGTTCTCAAGAACTTCCCAGCGCACAGCTTGCTCGACTACGCTTTGGCGGTCGAGAAGGTGACCACCTCGAAGAAGGATACTGTAAGTGCTGACGCGTTTACATGCACGAGTCCTTACTAATCTTCCCTAGCTTATCCTCAACGTCGACGGTTGCATTGCCGTTTGCTTCGTCGACCTGCTCCGCGACAGCGGTGCCTTTAGCTCCGAGGAGGCTGACGAGTACATCAAAATCGGTACCTTGAACGGCCTGTTCGTTCTCGGCCGCAGCATTGGTTTCATTGGCCACCACCTCGACCAAAAGCGTCTGCGCGCTCCCCTCTACCGCCACCCCGCCGACGATATCTTCATCAACATGGCCGATGTCACGCAGCCGCGTGTGCTCGGCAAGATGCAATAGACGACTGTCTGCATTACCATTGCGCTATTTAGAGTTGCTTTTATTTTGGATTTTCTCGTCAATGCTCTCGTCACGAACGCTCGTATCTACGTTGCTCTCTGTAATCATGTTCTCGCTATCGGTAGTTAGAAGAAGTAATGAAAGCCATGCATATTTATCTCTTTCGTGTGACGGTGCCACCTAGGAATTAGCCAGCTTTCGGCGATCCTTGAATTGACCGGCAATTCCCTTCATCCTCCGGGTGATAGCTTTGACAGATAAAGATTGATTTAATTTTTGTGGCCTGGAAGCCATGTATGATAGTTGTGGCTCTGGCTTGTATGGCCGTCACGTGATGCATCTATCGTTTTGCAGCCAGCTGAACAATACGAACAATAATTCAGGAGCTTGATAACGGTTCGGATGACTTAGCAAACGCACTTTGCTTCTAACCACGATGTGGCCAGTGAAAGTGCAGCTACAGTTCGACATCGCTCAAGCAGCGGAAAACGATGCCCTCGTGAACGTATGGCATGCACCTTACAACAAGCTCTTGAACACGCTGTTCCCAGTTGACACTGACTTCACGGTCATCCCCAACTTCCAAGAAACTGACAAGGGTGCGGACTACCTCATGACTTTTGAAATTTTCTTGGAAAACCGGCCGGTCTTTGTGCTGGAGCTCAAACGGGAGAAGGATTTTTCGGTGGCTGCCGATGCGTGGACGCATGGGTGACCTTGTTGGTAACGCCTTGCTCCCTCTCTTTTAGTATATCCAATTTATTTATTATAGATGCTTGTCCTCTACCCGTTTTGCACGGCGTCAGCGCTTTCGGGACCAAGCTCTGCTTCTACTTAATCACAAAAGCAGGATTGATCTCGCCAGAGTCTATTCCGGCCTCCCCGCAGTACGTGATTGACACCGCACCGGTTGGCCGCTGGAACTATGATATCCTTACGGCTGAAGGAGAGGCTGAATTGCGTCGCATTGTCCAGGCCATTACCACTGAGTGCACCCATCTTCCACATCAAAGTAAGCAACCTTTTTTGAATACATACACGTTTTCTAATTGCTACGCAGACGTTCTTCTGTGTCGTTCATATTTAACAGGGATGCGTCGGAGGTGGAGAGCGAAAGCAGATTCTTTCTTGTTATGTACATGTTCTTTACCTCTTGCAACAGGGTTCTCAAGTATATTGAATGCATCACCACTATCAGGTGTTGGCTACAATTTTTGAGTTTTTGAGCTAGGAAGACTTCGAGCTCAAAAAGAGCGGCTGCTTCATCTCATGGTCATATTCTTCCGCTTTCAGAATAATCTGCTTCTATCGGGATGCTGATTACCCCTTTCCCCCCTTGCTATTAGGTCGAGCACACCGTCGGCACTCTCAACACTTATTGTTGAGCCCTTTCTCCCCCACTTCTCCAACACCGAGGTCTACATCCGCGTCACCTCCCGTGACGAGGACACCATCCTCCCATCCTCCTCACGCGGACATCGGCGACTTCGACGCCAAGGCCCTGCGCCTCTCCATCCCCATCCTCAAGCCATTCCCCTCCCGCGCCCAGGTCGAGGCAGCACTCCTCCCACACGTCCTCGCCGCCAAAAAGGCCACTCCCGTCGACTTCATCGTACGCCTCTGCTCCGTCTACGTCGACCTGCACTTTGCGTATCTCGAGATCAACCCACTCGTCGTGCTCGACGGCGCGAGCGGAAAGGAGCCGCAGGTGCAGTACCTCGACATGGCCGCGAAGCTCGACCAGACAGCGGAGAGCATCTGCGGGCCGAAGTGGTCCGTCGCGCGCGATCTGAGCGTGTACGATGATGTGAGCGCGGGCGGCAAGGTCAACGCCGATCGTGGACCCCGATGGTTTTCGCGCGCTTTGACCGTGGCCTTACCAAGAGAAGGCCGTAGGTTGGGGCGTTGCTGAACTTCAAGACTAGTGTCATGATTTAGATGTTGAAGAAAGAAAATATTGCACTGACTTACACACCGTGCAGCGGTGTTCAAACATAAGACGGGTGCATCACGCCTCCGTGCACTGATCGGAATGACAGTGCATCACTCCAATTGTGCACGTACATAAGTGATGGACTCTCAACAAAGGAAGGCAGATGTAGGCTTCATAAAAGTGGCTTTAAAAGCCTTGTTGGTCCTGAGAGGGTGTAGAACACTGGCATCTAGCACGTGCAGCGAAGAACATATCTGCAGCGGGCCAATCAGATATATTGATTTGTGGTGGTGAGTGGTACGAAATGCACTTCAGTCAAGGTATCCATCGGCATGTCAAGAAAAGTTGGGGGTTTGCTGAGTGCAAACACCCTGATCGTGTTTGATTGTACAGACCTACCATCGTTACCGTTTAGGAGGAACTTGCGCAGAGGAGTCATTGATGATAGGGTCAGATATCAGTTGCATTGCGCTTTAAAATCGAGTGCACTATCGGCATACTAGAGGTTAAGACAAGTTAGCCACAAATTGGAGTGTGGGCTTCCGACGGAGCACACAATGATATCACGTGATCAGCCACATGCGCTGAATAATATCACGTGGGTAGTCACATGCGCACTTCCTCGTGATTCCGTCAGCCTTTGTCAACAATATGGGGCAATAAAGAACAGAGACTTAAACATTTATTTGATGGTATCTTGGCTATTCTAATAAAAACAGGGCCTGGCCGGGAATTGAACCCGGGGCCTCCTCCATGTCGACCACGTGACCACTCAAAAGCATCACGTGACTACCCTAAGAAGGAATCATACTACTAGACCACCAGGCCGCGGATACCCGATGGACTCAGATGTACTGGTGGGTTTTACCTCGTTTAGGTTTTACTGCTACAATTATTCGTACAACATCTACTCTGCACCTACTCTATCTCCGAAAGCACCGCGTAATTACGAAAGTGCCGTAGTCGTCTCTATGACTTCATCCACCCGCGAGAGCGACGCAGTGGGATCGGCTCCCGGTCGTATTGAGAATATAACGTCCTTGAGAACTTGCGAGATAAGCCCGTGCTGCGCCTCGATAGCGATCTTCGTGCTGTGCGACAAAGGTCATGAACAATAGCAGGTGAGAAAACAGGACGCACCTGTCGCGTACGCTCTTCGTGAGTTGACTGTCTTCCTTCTTCTTCGCATCCTTCTGGTAGATGTATCAGGCGACAAGGATAGGTCAGACAAAGATACAAGTACCTTCGATGTCGCATCAGCGTCCTCCTTGAGAATCGGCAAGACCGGTCGGGTGCTGGCCACTGTTGACTGGGCCTTGGCCAGCTTCAGCTGGAGGTCGTTCAGCTGCGACACCGCGTACTCCCGATTCTGCGAATGCAAATACCACATGAGATATCAGAAGTGGCGAACGCATACATTACGGTCCGGGTATTGCGCACGCACCGAGATAAGCGGGCTCTGACTGAGCGTGTTGACCCAATACTTATTCCATAGCAGCCCAAGCAGTTCAGTATCCAGACTGGACTTGAAAATCTCCACCTCCAGCGGATAGTATTGATCGGCGTGGACACCAAAATCCTCGATCTTGCTGAGCGGGATGGACTGATACTCGGATGACGAGCCCCCTTCAGGTTTGTAATTCTCTGGGTAGGTGCGGAAGGCACCGATGTCGACCTTGCCGGCGGAGATAGTACGATTGGGGTCAATCTAAGCAATTCAGGCAATAAGGGGGAGGAACGGGAGGGAACAGGAGGTGTGGCGTACGACAACGGCAACGAAGGGGTCGGTGTATTTCTGATTGTTCATCTGTGTGGACACGTCGATGCCGGATAGCCAGCAACCATACCCGGGGTGCGAGTGGTACCACCCCACAGCGTTTTCCAGCCGCGAGACCTGACATATCGAATGAATGTTATCCAATGTCACAAAGAAATAGCACCCACCTTCTCACTTCCCTGAATATATTGCACCATATATTCGTTCGCCTCGTTAGCAGCATTGACCCTGGTCTCAGTGCCTTGTACAGGCAGTGCAAAGGAGTCCATGACTACCATCGCATCTCCGACGACCTTCCCCTGCATCAGGCCCATGATCTCGTATGGCACGCCCGATCGCGCATGGATGACCTTGATTGTCCAGTTCGATCAGCACTATCACAAGCAATACAGCGCTGGGCACACCATTTTAATCAATGCCACAGCTGATATCCTGCATTTCTTGAAATACTTCGGGCTGCAAATTGAGATGAGTATTGCACGTGTGTCGCGGTTGAAGAGCTTTACTCTTTACTCCAGGGAGCCTCTTTGTCTAGCTTCTTCTGAGAATCCTTATTGTAGCGGTAGATCTCATCCTCTGGTGACACCTCAATAATGTCGTTTGTCAAAGAGAACGTCTTCAGCGCCGTGTTGGCCATCGTAGAGGACAAGGCTAGTAGAGTGGCAGCGCGTACAACACCCGGCTTTCTTACCGGCAACTTCGGTACCTATCTAGTTGCCGGCGGAAGATGCCGCAAGAGAACTCAACGGGGATTAACCACCTTCCCTGCTCATCGTCGTCGGCGTCCTCAAGCTTGCATCTTCGTCGTCGTGAGTGCCATTCCCGCTAAAATTGGCTTTCTACACCTCTACGAGTTTGCTGGACGTCATCTCGAGAGGGGAATGCTGCTGATTGGGATGGATTCGTGAGCCGCAGTTCAGATGTAGCTGACTCCTTTACTTGCCCAGATGCCTCTTCAAGAATACCAGGTCGTGGGCCGCCACCTCCCTACCGAGTCCGAGCCGACTCCCAAAATCTACCGCATGCGCATCTTCGCGCCTAACGAAGTTGTCGCCAAGTCGCGTTTCTGGTATTTCCTGAGGTGCGTGCGCCATATTCTCATACATAACCATAGTCTGACATTTCCACAGGCAACTTAAGAAGGTCAAGAAGGCCAATGGTGAAATCATTGGCGTGAACGTTGTGTGTATCCCATGTAGCCATCCAAGAGGCAGGCGGACGGGAGCTAACCGTCGTCGCGCGACTTCTCGTGCGCTTTCTAGATCCATGAGAAGAAGCCTCTCAAGATCAAGAATTTCGGTATCTGGTTGCGCTACGATTCGCGCTCAGGCACACACAACATGTACAAGGAGTTCCGCGAACTCACCCGCGCAGACGCTGTCAAGGCGCTCTACCAGGATATGGCTGCCCGCCACCGTGCTCGCTTCCGGTCCATCCACGTGCGTACTCCATGTCAGTTCCCCTCCGTATGTACTTACCACACCCCAGATCCTTCGCGTGGTCGAGATTGAGAAGACCGCCGACGTGCGTCGGCCATACATCAAGCAGCTGCTCGAGCCCAAACTCAAGTTCCCTCTTCCCCACCGTGTCTTCAAGGCCAAGTCGACCTTTGTTGCACACAGACCCACCACCTTCTAATCCGGTACGTGTCGCTGGGTTGTATGGGCAACCAAAAGGCCCTGGTTGGGTAGTAGGTTGGGAGCCGTGCTATGACTGCGAGCACGTCCGTATGACGCTATGTATTCTCGTTACTCTACGCTATCATGATTATATGGAATATGCGCATCACCCTATCTTGTCTTTGCCTCACACAGCGTGCGCGTACGTGGTCTTCTGCATTGAATTCTCACTTACTATTGTGCAACACTGTTAGCGCGATATCTCCGACTGGAGCCCCATAGTGTGCAAAGAAATGAAGTGATATGTGTGAATACTGTGTCAAATCAACCCGCAACACTGTAGCGAGTTGGGCAGAATGGTGTGCTGCGGTATGAAGTTGCCAAGGGGATGTGCATGCGTACTGATGCCTAATAAACTCATATCGCGAATTTCTTCCTGAAAGGAACTTTTATGAACTACGCGGTATCCGCTCAGCCAGTGCATCAGAAGCGGGGGATATTGACCCGTGGCATGGACAATGCGAAGAGGGGAGATAGGCTCTACCAGGGATGAGAACGTGTTGACTTCTTGCATATCAGACACCGGCCAAGTGACCAACTGCGTGTCGCGAAACTGGATCTTCAAGCTTTCAAGCTTCAATGACTGATCAAAGGGCGCGTATCTCACTTCGCGATCAAGCGGCCTACGAGAGGCGCTAGCAGTGAGTGTCTAGTCATTGTACCAATATGACATGATTAGCTATATATATTAGAACTTAAGAAGTCACTCGATTCCCGCACGAACCGCGATCGGGAATTGACAAAGACGATGATAGCAAATCTCTCGCAATTAGGGATGGAGACGGCTGACACCGCGGGTATCCCGAACAACACCGTACTCTCACCCGCGTACCCTGCGTCCGGTTACAAACCCCGCTGTGAAGATCGCGGGTCCTGGAAGGCTAGTGCTGAATCCCCAGGACATTAGAAAATTGATGTACGAGAGCTGGATTCGGGGGAAAAATAGGGCCGATAGCCGCAGTAAGCATCAGTCTCTGCTGTTGCAACATCTAAGCACGACTTGTGTCCTGTGCCTCTGCATATACAGGTCGAAGATGTCGAAAAGTGAGACCCGCGACAAACACCGTGGACACCTAGACCCGTCACGGTGGGTGCGCGGTAATGTAAGGAAAGATTTAATATAATATTGCCATTGCGTGAGTGCCAATGACATCAAATCTCTTTCAATGCTTATCATAAGACAGGCTTCGATGTTCGGCAGATTGTTGCCTAGGTAAGGGCGGCGACGAGGTCGTCATCGCGCTTTGTCTAGTCGTCCTGGTGGGAGCTGTCAATACGACGTGATTAACTATATATCTTAGAAGTCACTAGATGCCCGCACGACCCACAGTCGGGAATTGATAAATGCAATGATATTAAATCTCTCGCCATGCTTATAAGTTATCACGAGACGGGCTTCGAGGTTCGTGCAGATTGTTGCCCAGGTAAAGGTGGTGACGTGCTTTCGGCGGTGCGTCAACCAGTGAATCCATGTCGTTGATCTAATTGTTCGCATGCTGGAGAAACCCCTTGGATTCATGCATCATTGGACAAGGTCTGTGGCATATACTTATGCCTCTATCACTTGCTCAGAAATTGTCAGGTATAGCCTTGAGTGTGGATGTTTGTGTCATGGACTGCCAGTGTTCCCATTGCGACGCTGTTGTATCACGTATCACGTTTGCCAGCTTATTGTGCACCATCCCGACTGACGAACATGATCACTAGGATCCACAATGTACATAGTGGGAAAATAGCAAGGGGACATACGAAGAACACACTTTATGGTATCAATAAACACGATAACTAGGATCTACAATGAAGAAAGCATGGAGATAGTAAGGGAACATTCGAGGAACATACTCTACAGTACCAACCGACTACACACCGAAATCTTCAGGCGGCGCCAGCTGCAAAGTCATACTCCATAGCAAACTGGGATCTTTCTCATGGCATCTTCGCTGGAACTCCTCACGTACCCGGTTAAGACGTTCCTCCAGGACCGGGGCGTGCTCCTTCACCAGGATACAGAGGAACGTGCTGAAATGGAATGCACCCAGGGGGGTGCTGATGTCGAAGACGCGTGCATTTCCCTCCGTGACTAGCGTGGTTTCCTATAGTAACATGTAAGTACAATTCGGAAGTCGCGGATGCATCGTCATACCGGCAATGGCGCTTTAGTCGGCGGAGCACTCTCTTCCTCTGGTGGTGAAGTATACGTGCAGGAGACGGCACCTAGCGCACCATCCGTGACAAGCCCAAAGACGGGGAAGTCGTAGACACCCAAGTGAGCAAGAAACTTTGACCCCGCGACAGTATACAACCGCGCCTGATTGATACCGACGTGCGCATCTGCCTCACTGGCTTTCTTATACTCCGTCAAGAGGACGGGG